TATGGTAGGCCCCGTGAAAATTTGGTCAGGAAAAAACAGCAGTAGAAACCCAACAACATCAGTAGATTACACATGTATTACCAGAAGATGAAGCATCAAAACTATTTATTTGCAGATAAATAACAAATGAATTCTTAACTTACTTCAATGTCACTACCTGTCCTGAATGATCTTGATAGGTTTAGATGAATGTATGAATAGATGATGATTATGTTAAATCAATCATACCTACCATTATTAGACTGTTAATCATACAGTATCTAGATCATACTCATATCATCTTACAGTCTATATTTACACGATTTATACAAATATATACAGTAACTGGTACATCTATTTAGATTTTTCTCTTTTTTTTGGCTAATTGACTTGTGACAGAAGGGTTTTGGCTAGAGAATTATAATTTATATTTAATGGGAATTTTCTTTCTGGAACATTTTGTTTCCTTACCAAAACTTAGCACGATGAATTGATAGAGTGGATATAATTACCAGCTGACAGAAGGTTATGAGATTTTGAGAATTCATTATGGTCGTAGTGGTCATTACATAACTAGGAAATCAAAGAGATATCGTGCTTTTGTCTGAAGCGAACTGTTAAAAAATATCCATCATCTTGATAATATGGAGGATCTTGTAAAAACCTGGAAAGAGAGAATTTCATTGGAAGGCCAAAGCAAAAGAAATTGCTGGTTTTTTTCAGTTTCCACTGTGTAGCGCGCAAATAATTGCTAGTGTAGAGTGGTTTACCAAATATTTCATCACAATGATTGATAAAACATTGTTTTTGTTATTTTTAGTTGATTATGAAAAAAATATGTCAAAATATGATAAAAAACCTTCTACTGTGTCAGATACACTTGACAAAATTCAAAATGAATTTACGAATTATTTAGAAGGAAATAAGTGAATGATCCAGAATTAAAATCAGTTCACAAACATAAAACAAAAACACAAGACAATATTATGGAATATAACACACTTCTTAAATAAGGTTGGGTGTGTTAGAAGTGTGTTATATTCCATAATATTGTCTTGTGTCTTTGTTATATGTGCTCCTCGCTTCTATATGTCGTTCAAATCTTAGGTCACAAACATGATAAATATGATGAAATCAATTTACAATTCTGATTTGAATTGAAATCAATTAACAAATAAAGTTTAAATGAAATCAGTTCACCAATATGATTTAAAATGAGATCAAAGAAATGGATAAAGAATATAATGGCATAAATCACCAACACCTTATAGAAACAGTTGTTAGAAATATGAATAATTAACAGACAGATGGTTATGTTGCTTACAAACATCATATCTTATCATTGTCATCTTTTTCATATCAAAACTGTTCACAATAACTAAAAGGTTGTGAGTATTTAGATGTCTGTATAGATAATACAAATAACATTACTTTGTTCTCAAAATATAACATGTTTTAATAATACACAAAGAAAAACTGGAGTTTGTATATTTTCATTTCTGCTTCTGATTTGGCTAAAGACGACCATTTTCATGAAGATTAAAATTCTGTTAGGACAGCGGCATTGGCTCCCCCTTTTTCTTTTTTATTGATTTTAAACTATTGAGAGATTCTAATGTGCACCTTCTGTAGCAAATCAGGCCTTAGATGCTTTTTCAATGTTGTTTTCTTTCGGAAACCGAGTTGAAAAATTCCAAGACATCATCTCAACCCATGATAGAATCAAAACTCCATCCTTCTGGTTACCAAACTATTGTCATTTCCACTGTACCACAAAAGCTCACGGTTCCAAAACAAAGAAAAGGCGCTTCAGTCTCAGATTGGAAAACATGCTATAGTACACCGGTAATTGACCAGAGCTCATCTCATGCTACCTACTCTAAACATGCTTGGGATTCCTAACAAGACAGCCAGTATTTCAAAAAATGGAAGATAGCGTTCTAAAATTGGACTTAATGCATATGAGCTAAGCAAGAAAACTCACTGAATAAGTTAGAATGTTGACTGAAATAATATTATACAGTACATAGGACCTTAACTAAAGCTGTGTTTTGGATAAACAATTGTCACCAGGACAGCCAGTGTTTTTGGAAAATGTATTGCTTTTACAATGTCTGGGAAAAGGGAAAAGGCAAATTTCACACATTTTTTAGCAATAAGATCAGTTGGAAAATAATTTTCATTGATTAAGTTTTCAGGTAACTTTTTCAACCAAATAAAATGTTCATGAAATATTTTGACTGTCAATCTTCAAATCTTTAAAATATATATCAAATATTCAAATATCATGAAATCAGTGGCAGGGACAGTTGGCATTATTATCAGATTTTAATTCAGATTTTAACCCAGGATAAATTTAGAGCAGCTGATGTGGTTAAAATTCTTTATATACTAATGAGGCTTAGAACTCATCTTTAATTAACCACAATCTTTCTTCTTAAATCAAATTGTGGCTAAAATTGATATGAATGGTCTTTGTTTCTCTTAATCCAATAGGGAGAGGTGGAATCTTTTAATTCTCTGCTTAACCCTCAACTACAGCCTGTCACCACATTTTAAATGTTTGATTTGATTTGCTCAAGTACTTTATAAAACTTCAATCATATGGAAAATAATACATTGAATTGAAGGTTGTCTTGTGTTAAAGTTGAACTATGTTGAGGATGAGATCTCATTATTTCTAATTTTAGAATGTAATCCTTTAATAATACTATAAACCTACTAATTATCTTGATGAATAGTTGTAGTGACTGTCAATATCTGGGACTTGATTTCATCTTTATCAAATTCTGTCCTTTCAACCAGTTCAAATTTTGAATATATATCCTTCTTTTCTGCATCTGGTTTGACTGTGTGTCATTTTATTATTACAGAACGAATGAAAAAAAAAAAGATTTTTTTCTTAAAATTTGGTGTTTTATTTGCTTTAAGCTGTACAATAGTTTTCCACAAAAACATGGCTTCAGTAAAAGAATTTGACAGGACATTTTATCTAAAATTTTCAGTGAGGTTTAGGGACATATTTCTCCAGATTTTAGTCTATATTTTGTGTAATTTGAACACCTAAATTTTCTAACCTACAGACTACCCCTTTAACCGGTAACAATTAGCAAGTCCTTTAAAATATTTGCTTTACCACAACATCTGGTTTGTTAACAAATAAAGGCATGCTTTAATGTAAAAATATTAAGATTCAGTGGTATATCATGCAAGCCCTAGCCATAATTAATATTAATGCATCCACCAAAACTTATGACAATGTTCAGTTTATTTTCAAAAGAAAAGTCAATTAGAATATATGTCATAATTTAAATATTCTCACTGACCAATTAGAAAATATTTTTAGAATATTAAATTATGATTTAGGATTAAGATAAGAAACAGCTGCCTCTTGTATTGTATTCACAGATTTTAATGAAGTCAGTCTTGTAAATTTTGAACTGAGCTATTGTTTTGGCAATATTTTTATAGTCAAGCTAACTTCAGAAGAATTGATTTACCCTATGATTTTTGTTCTTTATCAAAGTAAGCCATGCTTTGATATAATATTTAGCTGTAAAGTCTAGATTAAACTTGAAAAATGCATGGCTGTGATTCAGGATTTGTTGTAGACATGCTTTGTATCAGAATATTGCTGTAATTTAATTTGGTAAAACAACAAAATTGGATTGATTAAGAAAATAAAAGTATAAGTTTTACTATCTGTATATACTGGAATAATGTTGCATCTGGCAAAGTGCCTTAACAAAAGGCTGAGGAATAGATGTTTACTGTATATTTCCGTATATAATGCACAAGCGTGTATAACGCGCACCCCTTCCTTACCCCTTAAAAATCCATTTACCCATATATAATGTACATCCGTTGTTGACGTAAAATTTGAGGTTGGAGATGGCATAATGCAGACACCAAAATAGTGAATGATAACAAGGCATATTCCATGAATCACCTCACTTAGATTAACATGAAAATTTTGTATAATATTTCTTTAATGCAGGCCTCATTTTTACAATTTATAATCTTCAAACATGACATTTACACTGTTGAAATTTCAGATTATTATGACTGGCCATGCAATTAATCCTTCTTTGATTGTATTTGACCCAAACTACCAAAGCCAAAATTATTAAGGAAAATTTGACATTTTGAAATTTGGTAGTGAATTTTTCATTTAAGTAACTAGAGCCTTGCATGAATTTGATTGAAAATTTTTGAATAATTTTCAGGGAATGAGAATTTAGTTGGCTGTCAAACAGATTTGATATTGGTTATTGGGTTTAATAATGAAATGGGGAGGAGGAAATGACAAAGGGAATAGACTATAAAAGTAGCACCTGTCTACCAGACCTGTCATACTGTCTAAATAGACACTCTGTCAAAATTATAAATAGAAACATCTAAATAGACTTGTTAGACCCAATACATCTGGACAATAGAGTCTTTTATAGATAGTAATGTTATCTCAATATATTGGTGATCTTATCTAAGGCTCAAAAATTACTTACATGATAATCATTCTTTTTTACAAAAAAATATAAGTTTGCTCCAGGGAGGCTTGTATCTATTTTGAAAATGTCAGGAGGTCCTTTTCCTTACGAATAGACAGACAAATGAATATTTTTGCCAGAAACTATCTTACTGTTATGGCCGTTCTAATTACCCTTTGATATATTTGATTGAAAAATTGACTTTTTTTTCTGTAATGGAATGTAGACATTGGTTCACATAATGACCTGATAATGTGCAGTGTTTTAATTGAAAATCTGACCTCTTTTGGTCTGTAATGGAAAGTTGATAATTACTTAAAAATGTCAGTATTGCAGGGTTTTGATTGAATATATTGCAATGGTTGCACAAAAGTTCATTTCTGCAGATTTACTGAATATTATATGCAAATATTCATTCTGCCAATTAAACTGATTTTGTCTAACCAAAGGAAATATATGGATTACAAAAAGGGTTAATTTAGTTTACAAACTGCGATGTGAGACATTAACCCTTGCAGAAACACTTTGTGGGGAATGACTTTAACTGTATGGAACTATGACACATTTATACATGTATTACTAATATAATGATAATGATAGTACATCAGGTCAAACAGATTTTGAGGGAAATTTTGTGTATATATTTTCAGGATTTATGAAGGTTTTGTACATTCAATTGTTTTAAAAGGATTTTTTACAAAATCAGATTGATAATAATAATATATTTCTTTCAGAATCAAGGTGAAAGTAAAGGAACAATATGTAATGATTTTTTAGAGTTATTACTGTTTGGTGTACCATCGTAAGTATTTCCATCTTCTTGCATTACATTACTCATAATATGGTATTTTTTTTCTCCCAGCTCCTGTTCTTAGAATTGTAACTGGTTCTAAGATCATATGTTCCAGTTTTCTCTTATATTTCATTGATAAAAGATGTGCTTTTTGGTATTCCTCATTAGTTTGAAATCCAATGGCATGCATGACATTGTCCATTTTAGCCGAATCAGATTGAAAATACTCAGAAACAGAAAATAAATTTCATCTGAAGACTAAAGGGAGACTACACATTTATTGAACGTCAGACTACAATTAATTCCATATGAAGACTAAAGGGAGACTACCCATTTATTGAACATCAGACTACAATTAATTTTATCTGAAGACTAAAGGGAGACTACCCATTTATTGAACATCAGACTACAATTAATTTTATCTGAAGACTAAAGGGAGACTACACAATTATTGAACATCAGACTACAATTAATTTCATCTGAAGACTAAAGGGAGACTACCCATTTATTGAACATCAGACTACAATTAATTTTATCTGAAGACTAAAGGGAGACTACACAATTATTGAACATCGGACTACAATTAATTTCATCTGAAGACTAAAGGGAGACTACACATTGATTGACCATCAGACTACAATAAATTTCATCTGAAGACTAAAGGGAGACTACACATTTATTGAACATCAGACTACAATTAATTTCATTTGAAGACTAAAGGGAGACTACCCATTTATTGAACATCAGACTACAATTAATTTCATTTGAAGACTAAAGGGAGACTACCCATTTATTGAACATCATACTACATTTAATTTCATATGAAGACTAAAGGGAGACTACACATTTATTGAACATCAGACTACAATTAATTTCATCTGAAGACTAAAGGGAGACTACACATTTATTGAAGCAATTTCATCTGAAGACCTAAATTTGTCTACATATTTGATTTTCCTTTCCAGCTATCAACAAAAGTAATATAAAGATCTGTTCATAGATCTCTGATTTTGCCATACTTACTGTATGCAGACTATTCAATACATGTACAAAAAACTGAATGAATAGAATTTATCATTTCTTTTTACAGGTGGCATTTAAAAGCATTCCTGCTGCATGAACTTACAGAAAAGGTGAATACTTACAATTCTTTTTGTTGATTTAATACATGTTCTTCATGGTTATAACAGCTAACATTATTAACTATGTGGACTCTCTATTGAGTGTCCTGTTATATAAGCATGCCCTGCCTCAGTAATTATTAACAAGGTTTTTTAATGGACATAGACTGCAGTGCTAAAAGTTGTCAGTTAAATGCATTTCCAGGGTTCATGAAATTGAAAAAAAAAACATGCACATCATTGGGAAGTAGATCAATAGAATTAATATGTTTCTAATGCACTTTTTTGCAGGGTTTGAAAAAGTTGGGACATTCCGTAGAAAATTCCTATTCCAATATACAAAAACTGGTTGTGAAACATCTTCAAATGTGAGTATGGTTTCATTAATAAAATAATACTCTTAGATAAGTTGAAAATTGAATGCTATTGTTGCTTTGTCAGCAAAATTTTCTTAATTTCACAAAACACAGCATTACCATTTCATTTTAAATTCTTTTGATTAGTTTCAGTCTATTTACAATTTTGATGTCAGTCAATCTAGTACATCAGTGTATAATTTTGGCACTCAATCTACATTGTCAGTTTCTGTCTATCTAGTTTTTAGTTTCAATCAATGTACAATTTCAGTCTATTTTAATTTCAGTCAATCTACAATTTTATCTGTCAAACAATTCCTTCAGTTTCAGTCTATAAATTTACAATTTCAATGACAGTTTATCTACAATATCAATGTCAGTCAATCTACAAAAACAATGTTTGTCAATCTACAATATCAATGTCAGTCAATCTACAATATCAATGTCAGTCAATCTACAATAACAATGTTTTTCAATCTACAATATCAATGTCAGTCAATCTTCAATTTCCATATTAATTCAGCATCAATTTGTGTATAATTTCAGTGTTGGTCAGTCTATAGTGTATCATTTAGATGAATTCCGAGGCATGTCATCATGGTATGAAAAGTTTGGTATCCTAGGATTAGAACAGACAGCTCTCCAGGAAGCAGTCAAAACAGCAGGTTCCTTTATGTTAAAGACATGTGAACTACAACAGTAAGATTATTTGTTTTTTTGAAAACCTTTTCCTATTCCTTTAACCTTCAACCTTCACTTTCACTTAAGAGAATGATCTGAACAGGGAACCCTCGATGCAGAGGTCTGGACCTTGATTCCAGAGTATTTTGAGAAAGTATATTATTTTAACCCGTAGTTTACACTATCAGTGCTAACACCTTATTGTTCAATTGTTCTATTATGAAAACAGTGTACAAAAAATAATCGTTGACATTAAAAAAATCGGGAACAAAAAATAAGCTAATACCAAAATCTCACATGGTAGTTCCTAAAAAAATTAAATGGATGTAATCTTGAAAATTCCTTATTAGTCATAGCTTAATGTTTCCAGTATATTCTAATAATCAAATAAAGAATTCCTCTATTAAAATTTTTAAATGTTTTTATATTAGAGTTATTGATGGAAGTATTAAAAATTTTGAAGCATTCTTCAAATGGTTATATATAGGTAAGTTAATTTTTTTTTTCAAACACACACAATAATCTTGTTTCTGAATCGAGTTATATTATGTATTATGAAAATAAATATTGTTTAAATCACACTAAAAGGGATTGTAAAGAGGTTTTCTAAACTTTTTATGTGTATCAGGGATACTGATAGCATCAATTTGCACCATTCTAATTTTCATTTCGACATCTGTGGTTTTTGCAATTCCACTAAAACTAACATGTTTTATGACGTCACTAGAGGGGAACTACTGGAAGCTACTATTAATATCTTTGCAGTTCCCCTCTTGTGACATCATAAAACACGTTAGTTTTAGTGGAATTGCAAAAATCGGAATGAAAATTTGAAAAGTGCAAATTGATACTATCAGTATCTTGGAGATTGTGAGAGAGCTCCATACTGCAGAAAGTTTTCTTGTCTTAGGATATGATTAAAAACTCATGTGATTTGATAGTGAAATCACCTATGCATCTAGCTCTATTTTTATGGTGAAGGAAGTGTATGCATTATGGAACAATCAGATTATATTGTCTAACAAAGATATCTAGACCCCATCTGTGTTAGGTTATTTTCATTTACATGTGATTTAAGTCTGAATTGTAAAGTTTTTCAACTCTGGAACAACAATGGATACATGACTTTGGCTATTTGCACCTCCACATTCTGTAACTAATTGTTTTGGCAACTATATGATATATTATCACTGTCTAGGTTTATTATTATTTCAGCAATATTGAGATTATCTGGAGAGAAAACACCACCAGAATTTAGTAAGGTAATGTTCCTCTTATTTGTGCCTTTGTATGGTTTAAGGAAACACTTATAGCTTCTTTAGAAAATCAGAAAATCTTTGTCATTGTTGGTAACATATTCATGCAATTTAGATTCTGAACATGTATCTTATTATCAGATAAAATATCTGATGAAACCTGAATTTTCTTTCAACTTGTTAATTTTTATTCACATATGTGTACATGTAGATGTAATATCTGAATGTGTGTACATTTTACCCTGTTACTTGTCTGAAAAGAAATCATGTTATCTTATGCATAATGGACACTTTTTGCCATAGGAAACTACGTTTTGTTCTTACATGGAAATAATAATCTCTCTTAATCTCTGTCTTGAGTTGATAAGTTGAATTTTAAAAAATGTTGACTAATTCAACCAAATCTTCAAATCACACTTAAAGGCTTTAAATTTGATTTGATGGCTTTATTGAAATATTATAGCCTTTTTATAAATTGGACTCATCAAGTCGAAGTATAGATTCAAAATGGCTGCAAACTATACATTCGTGTTCGTTATTTCCAAGAACCATACATAGTTTCGTATGATTCATTAAAATGTCTAAAAATCCTGATATTATATTTTCTGAATTATTGTATAATTACAGATGACACAACATGATATTAGTTTTGTAGCTGATTTTTTGAAAGATAATTTTACCCAGCATACTCAGGTATATAATTTTGATTAATGATTCTATGATTGCTTACTGTCTATTTCTATTTTTATAAGAGAGGTAACTGTCTGAAATTTAACTGTTTGAATGTAATAGTGGACCTTAAAGGATGCTAGTAAAGAAGGTTCAATTGAATGAAAGCTTCAGGACTAAATTCCTTTTTGAACATAGGGATAACTTTTTTTGACCGTATCATACCTTTATAGTGGTAATAAAGCCAAACTAATCTTGAGTGAGTTTTTTAGTTTCTTAAAAAGGACAGGTCACACTCAGTGTTATTTTTGTGGGGTTGATTTTAGTCTTAATTATATGTAAATAGTCTTCAGAAGTACTAGAAATGTATGAACATCACATAATTCCTTTAAAAATACTTCAAACTAGGAATTTTACTCACTATTTCTATATATCATGGGTGAGAGTTGAAACCTTGTATAACAATTTATGACCCAAAATTACTTATCGAGAAAAAATGCAAAAAACTATTTGTACATGTATTTTGTTAAAAATATTTTTATGATTTAATTTACCACCATAGTTGGTTCTCATGCTTTGAAAATTTAAACCTTGTATAAAAATTTGAGTACTCCGACCTATTAAACCAATAACATTGAACCTAGTATGATATAATATTTTACAAGGTTTTAAATCTGACTGTTTATATACGTGTTATTTAATTAGTGGTTTTTGAGTTATTAATGATCAAGCTAAGAATAAGACATTTTGATCACAAGATCCGCGCTTTTACGACCTTTCGAACATTACCAAAAAGTCATAAAGACCAAATATGGCATATACGAGGTTTCAAGCGGTCACCCACGCCTGCTTTCTATATATCACAGAGTATCATTGACGAGTCGTCATTTTAACATTCGAACTCAGATAATTCTGGATACACATGGATTTGAAAGCTCAAAAATCGGGGATGAGCTGTGAACACTATGACTGATTAGACTTAAGTATGATTGGTTAAAAAATGGCCTCCCTGTTCCTTTAAGCCTAACTGGACTATAAACATTTTGGGTTGTATGGCTGACACAGTTCTTCTCTATAGAAGAGAGTTGTTTTGACAATGGTTCAACATAAATCTTAAAAGCGAGTAGATTTTATATCATATGCAGATAAAAAGGATCTTTAAAACATGTTCATTTTTTTCATTCCATTTCAGAATGGTGAAAGTCATCATGAGGAAGATAGAAAGGAAAAGTTTCGACTTGAAAAAGTTGGTCAAGTAGGTAACATGTTTTATTTTAGCAGTTGTTTTCTCTGTTCAATTAGTTTCCTGATCAATGGTGAATCAACAACATCTATATTTATCATTTTATATTCGTGATTGTTCAGAACATTCAGGAGGTTTCTGAGATGCCTAGTACCACCAGACAGAATTCACGCTTGACTGTTGACTGACTGTTTCATCCGTTGAAATGCAGTGGTCAAGAGATTTTATTTATCTAACAGTATAGTAGTATATTAGACCTTTGCTGTCTGAATAGTTGATTAAATCATTCATTGTTAAAGATGTTTTTTAAGATTCAGATTATCTGAAAATATTGAAATTTTCATACTAATTCTATATCTGAATATTTATATTACAGTATTTAAAGAAAGAAGACCTGCTGATACCACCAGACACCAGTTCAAATATGTGGAAACAGTTTCTCAATGCTAATAATTTCCAACATGGTAAGTAACACCCTTTGTAAGAAAGTTGACATCAGACCTCTCTCAAAAGCACTGATTGTGTCATTAATTTTCTTGAATTCTTTTAGTTATGAAGCGGTGAAAGCCAACACTGAGCAGAGTCTCAAAAGTGCTGGCACTGGCATCAGAATTCGTCTTACCTTGAGGAGGATTTGTCTTAATTTAACTCAAAGTTCAATCAAAATAATATTTGAGTATTTGTAAAAGACTACTTAAACACATTTATTAAATTATAGAGAGTAAACTGATCTATGAAATAAACAAGAAGAAATCACTGGTACAGTTAAAAGATAAGTTAGAAGATATATGTAATACAGCATTAACTAAACCTGCTGTAAGTATAATGAGTGCCACACACATTATCTTGTTCAACACATTATTTATGTTCAACACATTATCTTGTTCAACACATTATCTTGTTCAGCATATTATTTATGTTCAACACATTATTTTGTTCAACACATTATTTTGTTTTTAATTTACCCTTTTAAAAGCAAATTCAATTTGATAAAGAAGATACATAGATATAAATAACATACTTTAGAAATATTTTCAGGTGATAATTGTATTATTATGAAAATTTTGCATACTGCCTCTTTAAAGTTACTTTCACATTATATGTTTCTATATTTAGAATGTTATTGGTGAATCTCTTCATTGTTCCTGTACACATCATTTATTTACTTTATCAAGGTCAGTTATTGATTCATTTTAATTTATCTTGATTTTACTAGCGTGTACAAGTCAGTTAGACATATAACCCTTGATCAGGCAAGTGAATATTATTGCCACTCAAGACTTAGTGTGCCATAAATATTCAGTTGGATTAATTGCTGATTATGTAACCAATTAATGGAGGATTAAGTTTTAAAATTAACAACCACTGGAGAAATATTAATGATAAATAGATTTTGGATTTTAAAGGATGAAACTCTCAATATATCATGCAAGACATTATTCTCGGAACGGTTACTGTTTACATTACACCTATTTATCAAGTCCGTTCTGAGAACCTTTCCATTCTGAGAACAGAACAGATGAATTTTGTGTAATGTTAACGGTTGAGCGTTCTAAGAACAGGTGAATTTTGTGTAATGTTAACGGTTGAGCGTTCTAAGAACAGGTGAATTTTGTGTAATGTTAACGGTTGATAAATTTTGTAAAGTAAAAAGGATATCTGTCTGTTACCACTCATTTCAAAAACTAGATTTCATTTATCTGTAAGACTTACTGATTATCTATATTTTTAGAGAAGAAAAAGCAAGGTTGCCAATTTTTAAACAGTAAGTTTAGGTTTCTTTTTAGCATTTTCTGTCTTTATCTTCTTCTTTAAGTAGGGAACAGCTGTAGTAGAGGAACCAGGTTAGCTCAGCAATTTGGAAACTGCTCTTGGACATTGAGGTCCAACATGCTATGACCGACAACTAAAGTCAATTGTCAAGAAATTGGCCCCATATATAAAATGGATTTGCTTATTATTTTAGTCAGAACATAATACATGTGTCTACCTAGTATGGTACTTGAAAAAAAAATATCACAAACACAAGACAATATTATTATAACATAATTTACATGCACATCATCATCATCTGAAGAAGTATGCTTATTCCACAATATTGTTTTGTGTTTGTGATATGTCTTCCTCACTTTTAAATAATATTCAAGTCTTCTATTAAAAAAAGAAATGACTACATAGATAATATACATATTGTTTTCAACTGTCATATCTTGAATTCTTGTATAATTTGTTTTTCTTCACCAGGTATACAGACAGTAGTACTGGTAATCTTTATACTGTATTTACTGCTGATACATTACCTTGTCAATATTTATATATTATACATCATCCAACAAATACTAACAAGTAAGTAATCTTGATACTCTATTTACTGCTGATGCATTACCTTGTCAATATTTATATATTATACATCATCCAACAAATACTAACAAGTAAGTAATATTGATACTCTATTTACTGCTGATGCATTACCTTGTCAATATTTATATATTATACATCATCCAACAAATACTAACAAGTAAGTAATATTTATACTGTATTTACTGCTGATACATTACCTTGTCAATATTTGTATATTATACATCATAGAACAAATACTAACAAGTAAATAATCTTTATACTCTATTTACTGCTGATGCATTACCTTGTCAATATTTGTATATTATACACCATCCAACAAATACTAACAAGTAAGTAATCTTTATACTCTATTTACTGCTGATACATTACCTTGTCAATATTTGTATACCATGTACCAGTCGAAACTTACTAACAAGTAAGTAATCTTTTTACTCTTAAAATTTCCTCTCTCAGCCAGTGTTCTCCAGAGTTGACGTAGTGTCACGTGACTTCCATCTATCGACAGCTGTATCAATTTATCTCAATGAAAAGACTAAAGTGTTTGAAAAATGAGGACATTTTAGTCAAAGTGTATGTCAAGCAATGCATGACAAGCAACAATTCATATTATTTATCCTGTGCTGCTGTAGTAAAAACATTAAGTTTAATTATTCCTGGGTATTGTATATTGTCATGTTTACATTCACAAATGGAACTTGCTTTTCTTTTAGCAGTGTATAAATGGTTGTCTGGTAAACATGTGTAGTAAAGTATCAATAAACAACCATTTGAATGATACATGTATCGTGTACCAGCAGTTGTTTCAATACTTTGTAATTTACCTCCAAATATAAAATATATTGCTCTTGTTTTGATTCATGTAGACAAATATAATTGATAAACCATAATGGTTCAACAATACTTTATACACACTATGGTTCCCAACCTGACCACATGACAATTCATATCTAACATATTTACTGAACCATTGAGGAAAAATTTAGTTGTTGTCTGAATTTATAAAATGAGTATAGTTGCCTCTCTTTAAATATGAAATATCTGAAACTTCAGATGATTTGTGGTTGTTCTCAATCAGCCACATGAAGTAAATACATACAGTAAGTTCCTATTATGTACAAGTGTTTGGGAACGTCTCAAGCCCAAACTGAAAATGGTAAAGTATTTTTGGTTTGACCAAGAATCTTTAAATGGGCTGGAATCTAAAATGAATATCCAAAACTGAAATTTTTGCAAAACTGGAAGTGGCATGTTACATAATGAGGTGCAAAAAATTGGTTTGGAGGCTGTGAAAAACAGAAAGCATATTTAATCAAAGGTTAATAAATACAACATTAGATAATTGTTTTTGCCTTTGTCTGTTTCAAAAAGTTCTAGAAAGTAGGATATAAAATTAACTGGCATCAACTTCATCTTCATTTCTTTCAGAATTATGGAAGATAGTGGAATAGTTGGAATTAGTATAGGAAGTCTTTCTGTAGAATGTCCTGACACTACAATTGATTCTAATTCTGCCAACAGGTAGGCTTTTATTTTATCCCTATTTCCCCCACTTGGCTGACAATGTCAATTTCAAGTGCAATGCTTAAGTATTGGTAAATCTGATGTCTCAGCCAAAAACTGATATCAGAGATTATAGGCTATGAGAACATAACCTTATGTACACAAGGATTATGTAAATTTAAAGCAAATTATAAGGTTTTTGTGCTGCTGACATGTTTCAGATCACCATCACCAATCACCATCAGGACCGTTTATAGAGGACGCATCAGATCTCATGCCAATTGAGTCTACTGACCTTCATTAAGTCAAAACTTTCTCAGTTTGAGAAAATGTTTAGATTTCAAACAGAGTTACTGGTAATTCCTGTGTTCCCAATTGTGGAAAACACCAACGCTCCCCAAGTTTTCTTACTTCATATATTTGGCAGTCATGGTAAGGAGACAAAAACGAACAAAAATTGTATTATGCCAGTTTTTATTTTATATGCTAAACTCATTATTACAAATATGTATTTCTGATATTTACAGGCATTGCATAGTACTATATTATCAAAATCTATGACAAATTTTTACCCAAAATGAAAAATACTTAAAGGGGTAGTAGCGCCATATTGAAGGAGGGAATTTGGGTCTTGAATATTTGTAAATAGCCTTCGGAAGCACTAGAAATTTACGAAAATCGCACAATTCCTTCGAAAATACTTCAAACTAAGAATTCTACCATTTATTCTGCCACTACAAGAAACTATCTTGCTCTTGTTTTTGTTTTTATCACAGAGTTGGTAAAAATTTGTCATAGATAATTGATGTATTGATGTATTTTATAAAGTTATTGTACTAGACATGTTCATGAATCACAACAAAAAAACACAAAAATCAGGGTTTTTGCAATATTGTTGTGTTCAACTTTGCATATATATTTTGCATAGTCTTTGAAAGGCATTATCTGTACAGCAAAATGAAGCTGCAATGAAAGTCACAACGAAAATGAAAAAATAATAAAATGATTAAATAACACATAATACATACAAACATGAGGCATATTCATCAAACAGGCAAATGAGCAATAATGACTGTTGTCATGTTGTTGAATAACAGCTGAATAAAAGTATTGAATATTAATGGTAAGTCCTACTTTTCTGCATGTGTACCATTGAAGAGATATATTTGCCTCAATGTTTGCTTTTTAGCTGTTAGTGCTCAAGCATTGATAACACTTATTGAAAGTGTTATGCCTATTACTCATGCAATTGAAGAAAAAAATTTAGATTGTCGTCACCTCTAGGCCATCTGTATATGTTAATTTACCATATTTTTTTTGGAGTTTGGATTCTTATTTTAAGAAATAGCTGAAATTGAGCTCTATCATCTGGTGAAGCTTATATTTAGGCAACAAAAATGAAGAGCGTTAAAAATGTTTAATGAACATGCTCTATTTTGACCAAATATTTGATTGTAGTTGATGAATATGCCTCCTCACTCACAAGAGATTTTGAGCCAGGATTTTGGCTGACAGAAATGAACAATTACATACATATCAATTAAATTATTATACAAATTATTAATGACAAATTTGGCAGTAAATTATATTCAAATATTAAAAAAAATCACATCAAACTTAACCACACATTCAAAGCTCCTCAGTTAAAAACAAAAACATTATCTACTTGCATTTTCTTATCTCTTTCTTCACAGCTTTTTAATAGTGAACACCAAGCTATGTTCAACAAAATATGAGCCATAATTGACTTTTTCAACAGCATATTTGTGTGTAATAATTGAAATTTCAATCATAAATGAGTTTGAGTGGACAAGATTTTGTCTTAAATGGTCGTATATGTTGTGGATATAAGACCCATCATCATGACAGCTGGTTTGAATGAAGATATATTTACTATTATACAAGTAGATATTGTTTTTTAACTGGAGCACCAAATTTTGATTACCAAAATTTACATATAGTATATACATTTTGAATGGAAGCATGACTTATTTTAATTTGGAAGAAGATGGAGAAATGTCTTATGTTGCCAATTACTTAAATGGCTAAGTACTTGAATGGCCAATTACTTGAGTGGCAAATTACTTGAATGGCCAATTACTTGAATGGCAAGTGACCATTTACTTGAATGGCAAGTGGCCATTTACTTGAATGGCCAATTACTTGAGTTGCCAATTACTTGAATGACCAATTACTTGAGTGGCAACTTGCTAAGCCAACTATTCAGTTACTTGTGAGTACATAATTTCTGCATGACCCATCCTCGGCTCATCTTATAGAATTTTTTATTTGTATTGGTTAAGCCAGTTCAAAATTCAATTTAATGAACATGAAGATGCATGATTAACAACAAATTTTGATGACAAAGTGAAATGTGTGGAAGACCTATTACATAAATGAATACCTTTAAACTCCAGATGATGTTATTTGATTTGAGCAATGATATATTTACACTTTTTAAGGCACATTTTATATTATAATACCTTGTTTTGTTTTGACTGATATTCCATGTAATGAATTGTATAATGTGTATTTGAAGACGTCTCTGAACACATTCCAGTCAATTATAAAATTTCACATAATCACATCATGTTCTCTCAATATCATGTTCGATGTTCTTCACCATTGAAAATATGATCAAATGTTCACATTTCAAAGTTTAATTTTCATTGGAGGTTAATGCTTGAAAATTACCGTTGTTCTCCTGACATTTTGAATGTCGCCATTTTATAATTTAAAAATTGTTATTAGCACTTTTGGGCATATATTCACTTTGGCTTAAATAGTCTTGCTGTATAGATTTCAAGGCACTTTCAGTTACTTCCCTTTTAATGAAAGGCGCTGCTTCTGTAATAATAATCGCTTCCAGGAATTATGTCTGAATTTCTTTTTATACTGTGGCGGGAGAGTGGGTAGAAGTTTCTGCATCATATAATCTTCTGGTTCTGATTTTGGCATATGATCACAATTAGAGTCTGAAAATAAATAAATAAGTTGTTTTAAAAATATGGAATTTGGAATAATATGCAAAACCAATCGTATTTTAGTAATTTTATCCATTTTGTGCATGCATCATAGCCTATGTAATTCATATCATTCCAATCCAATAATTTCTTGTTATGATGAAGATTATGTAGGGACAAAGGCTATTTCAATAGATTAAAATCTTGAAAAGTCCAAGATACAAGATTGCTTGATTCATATTTCTAATTATTGTTATGTGGATATTTGCTATCTGAAGTTATTACAGTTTAAATAACCAATGGTAAATTTTCTTAGAAATCATTGATTGTTACCTGGTGTTTCCCAGAATTCCACTGTTATCAAACTATGACCAGCTATCCAATCTTTACTTTGATGAAAATGATTACAATCCCACAATGCAACATGGCCTTTTGGTCGATTCTGTTTCTTTGTATATGTTATGACTCTTAAGATGCCTTGCTTCCCCCAGAAATTCTTCTTTGTGTCTATAGGATCCATTTGATGAAGTTTTGAAATACTAGGATAGCCATATTTATCAGCTAGGTAAGGTCCATAAGCCATGGGATGATAAATATATTGAAATCCATCTCGACCAGGCACACTATCCCGTCCAAATTTGGAAAGTTTGATAAGCTGTCGACCAATAGAATGCTGATTACCAACTTTATTTAAGGCAACAGATAAGCGTAAGGCACTAGTATCGTGTAAGAGGAGCTTACTTTCACAACCTATCATTTTTATTAAATGATGGTTATTCAAGGCACCTTGGTGATGTTTGTAACCAGGATAGTTGACTTTTAACTTCTGAAAGGTTGGTAAGGGGATCTGAAAATAGACAAAAATCATTCCATTAACCAAACTTTATTGACCTCTCATCTTTTGTTATTCACACATGGAACGTATCATCATCTGAGCAACTGGTTAAATTCGGGGCAAAGTTTTCAACCTCATAGAGAAACATGAAATTAAGCTTTGCATTCAAGGGGAAAGATTAATCATATGTAAAGTAAATGAAGATGTATTGGGTTGGTTTAAAAAATATACAAGCACATACAAGGTCAGTTGTTTGAAGATTGCATAGTGTGAAACTCTGAGTAGCAACGTTATTCATGTTGTTTGTTAATATCCCTACATGCACAAGATATGCAGATGGCGCTACATTCCATGAATAAAGGGTTGTAAGCTCAGCATTAATTGAAATAAGAGGCTCATGCAGTCCATTGTCACTTTCAATCTTCAAGAAACAAAATATGTTAATTTGATAGCATAGTATAATATCTCATTTTTTCATATTTTGTACATTTTTTGTGTTTATGTTTTATGTGCCAAATTCTAAAATAATTAAGAAAGCAGGTGAATCAAGTTAAACAAAAACTTTTCAAGTACAGTTTGTTTAAACAATTTGAGATATGCTTAAACCAGCATGAAATTATGTAAATTTTCTGAATATGAAACCATCAGTTTGTAACATGCATGTGGCTGGATAATTTGTCTTACGTGACGTCTGTCTGCTTTTGTTATTTTATTACACGCTTTGATGAAGAAAGATAGTGCAAAATACTAAAAGTTGGAACACTTGTATAATAAAATTGTATTTTGTAGCGCGAGCCAAGAAAAACGAAGCATATCTCAGTTTTTTTAACCTTTTTTGTGGTACAAAAATGGGCATTTATAAACATATAGCCATCCCTACCTAACCCTAACAAAGTCACTTAATATCATTCTTGACAATCAAAATGGCTTCACGCTTTTTTTTTTAAAAAAAACTAGCGCGCCACCTGTTTCTTATGTTAGCAGCCATAGAGAACATGCATTGTGACGGTGCAAATAGCCAGTGCGTTTAAACAGACATAAAAGTAAATTCAATTATAAGATGAGACTGAGCAATTTTGATCTTTTTAAATTGGAATAAAATCAGCTTAATCTAAGGGATGTGAAACAAAAGTAGCAAAATGGCATTAAAACATTGCAGGAAGAAGTAAGTTGACCTAATAGGGGATTTTGATGAAAAATAAAAAGGTTTGGTATCAAACTGACTTTTTTTTCTTAAGCTTACAACTTATCAATCACCCCTCGTAGCTTGCAAATTAATGTCTTTTCCCTGCAAATTTTTAAACAACCTTTTCTTAAAGGGACAGGTTTGATATTTTCTGGGGTTGATTTGGGTCTTGAATATATGTAAAAAATCTTCAGAAGTACTAGAAATGTTCAAAAATCCTTTAATTCCTTCAAAAATATCTCAAATTAGGAATTTCACCTTCTGTTTCTATATATGGCAGAGACTAAAGAAATAGCATTCATAACACAGATAATTCTGGAGGTATATTGATTTGAAGGCTAAAATTTCAACGATGAGCTGTGAACACTATTATAGATTTGCTTAGCTTAAATATACCCGCTTCTGAGACTAAGATACGATTGGTCAAACCGATGTCTAATCTGTCTCTGTAACTTTATATTATTACATACAGTACATTATGTAACATAATATATTCTAGTCTAAGTATAGAATAACAATTCAGTTGTTATAATCTTGTTATTGGTATAAATGTAGAGTGAGTAATTGGAATGTTATTTATTATCTGAATCTGTGTGGTAAGATGTAACTATAGATATCAACAGACAAGAGAAGAGATATTGTTGATAATTAGAGATATTTACAAGGGAACATCCCTCCCTTTATACCCTGTATATATGATATCCTACAGGTGGCCATATTGGATTACAACTTTCTTAACAACCCCTAATTTTCGCCCCTTCTTCTGACTTTTCTATTAACAAATTGAGCGACAAACCCTGAAAATTGGGTTTTACAACACATCTGAACTGTGGCTTATTCATAATGGTGTTTAAGATAAAATGACATAGAGAAAAAGATCGTTAATAATTTTAACTAGTTACATGACAACGTCAAATCTCCCTTCTGTTTAGATCCTATGTGTAATTACAAAGAAAATTGAAGCTTCTTCTTTTGAAATACAAATTGAATATCTTATTATGTGAAATGTATAGTGTATCTTGAAACAATTTCAGACTTTCACAAAATCTTATTTAGAGTAAACTTAAAAGTGATAAATTTTTTGGCTAGGTTATAGGTACTCTTAATGTGGTTTGCAGATGTACTCATTAAATTTTTAAGTTGCTAAGACAGATGGAAATTGGAGATGAAAATCCTTTCTATATCTCCAACAAGCTCTATATTTACTGGACAGAAGAACATAAACTATTTTCAAATATTCAGCAAATGGATATGCCTTTAGCCATTTTACAGTACCACAGAAATTTGATGGCAGCAATGTTTGGATTTCGCTTAATAAAAATTGCTTGTATTTGGTATTGAATGACAATGAGTTGCGAATGGAAAGCACAAACAAGGTACCTTACTGACCAATGACAAAGAAATTTCCTTTTTAATCAAATACAATTTTTGATGTTTGCTGCCTGCTGGAGATTTTTTGTGATCTTAGCAATGAATGAAATGTTAAGGGTGTTGTTTGTGTTGGAGACTGTCAAGTGAGGCAATGATAAATGACTTTAAATCATGTCCACACATGAACAAAATGGTTTTACTATTCCCCTCTCTTATTTGAATACTTTCAATACACCTGCCTATCAGAGTGGTCAAGATGTGGGAAGTGTCTTTAAGATTGAAATTTTCATGGGTTGGGATATTCAAATTTTTGATTGTAATTTTTGAATTTGACCTTTAATATACAGAGAGTGTTTTCTACTCTTAGCTCAAAAGCTGAAAAATATTAAGATACCAAATGCTCAATTGAGGATTATCATTATTTAGTATTTGATAATGCACCCTTTACAAGACAGAAAGTGTTTTCTACTCTAAGCTCAAAAGCTGAACAATATTAAGATATCAAATGCTCAATTGAGGATGACCATTACTAAGTATTTGATAAGGCACTCTTTACAATACAGAGAGTGTTTTCTACTCAAAGCTCAAAAACTGAAAAATATTAAATTATGGAATTCAGTATGACTATTACTTAGTATGTAGTAATGCACTCTCTAAAGTGCATATGAAAGGATGCATATGAAAGCTTAAATGTAGCTAATAATGTAAATCCATTACTTGAAAGTGTAATGATCAAATATGATTACAATACCATGTTTGATTTTAAGCACCATTTGACTTTGGTAACAGATTGCATTCATCCTTTGATTTTTAATAGTAGTATATAATTGTCATTAGATTTTACTATCATTGCAAATTTTCCAAATTACCAAATGCAATTTTTCATCTGATGAAGAATTTTAATATAAAAACAAATATACTCTTGACAACCCTAAAGACCCCAGGCTTCTGTTAATACTATCATAATTCAATGAAAAGGTATATATTTCACAAATTAAGTTACAAATTGATCTGAATGAACATTATCAAGTGTCCAATTCAAATATACCATCAGTAGTCTAAAGAAATCAAAATGTGAAGTGTTGAGAAATAACTAACAATTTCCACTCTTCCCTCTAGCTATTTCTTTAATCAAACACCGGTCAAAAGTTTATTATTTCACTGTTCAAGCTTCAATGGCCTTGAATTGAGAGGGTGATATCTTGATTTTTTACGCTTGTCATTGTGCTTGGATTTTTAACAAGATAGCAATGATCTGGACATCTTTGTTAAAGATCTCAAAGCATTCAAACAGATATTAAAGTTTGTTTTTGATAAACTGAAAAACAATGAAGGTCTTTAGTGTCGGTAACTTGGATAAAATGTGGGTGGTAAGGAATTATAGGTGTGGGTAAATATGCCTTGGAGTGGTTGATCAAGGATGATTACTAAGCCTGAAATTAGTCAGTTATCTTCTTTCCTGATTTATGATGTCTGTTCGCGGGTAAAAATTAATCTTAAGGATTAACTGATATTGATGCTTGAAGATTCATGTGAACTCATTGTGGAGAGTCAGATTGTCTGAAACCCAACCATAGGAGTTGATGGTTAGCTCTTCTCCTTCAGGATCATCAACACATATCAGAGACTGATGGTTCATTATTGATCCAGAATCATGCAGAATTTTTGTCTCAAAAATGCACGAGTTGATTCTTGGCCTTCAAGAAGATCTTATAGGTACCAAATATATCATTGATTCATTTCAAACAAAGAAAGAAGGTGTATCAAATCCAAACTTATGAGTTAAAAGTAGCTCAACATTGTGCTAATATTTACTTGAAAGATTAACCCCTTCTCTAACTTATAAATTATCATAAAATAAACTGACAATATAAACCAAATCCAGCAGCTGTTTTGATAAGACACCAACTTGAAAATTGTTTGCTGTATCAACTATCATGGCTCTTAAGCAAGTTTTCATACAAATTTAACCCAAATAATGTCATATTTTTCATTTGTGAGATAGGAAAACATTGATTGAGTAAGTTATCTAGCTTGTTAAGGTAGACATTTTGAAAATGGACAAAAGTGTGTGTTTTATGTAACGCGATGTTGTTGACATTAGCAAAATTCATAGGTTATATGACTCTAATAAAAACAGTCTTCGCGTCTGCTGTAACTGATAAAAGTGATAAAGATGGCCGTTAGTCAGAACATAATACTCTCATCTTATCTTATCTTCTTGATAGCAAATATTTAAAATATCACCATGAATTATTTTAAAATGTTCAAAGCGTGACAGTAGCTTGACAGAAAAAATAATAAAACTGGTTTAACATAAGCCATTCAAAGTAAAAAAAATCAGTCGAAATTAGATTCCAAATTATACATTATATATTTACGAGTCCTTATTTGCTTTGGAGCAGTCAGGTAGAATCATTATTGCAAATATCCAATTCATGACATGAGACCACCAAAAATGGAATGAATTATTGGATTCCTGTTATAAAATTTGACAGGATTATTGACCCAAAAAGTTTGAGCGAACAAACCTATAATTTTTCATTAAAAAGAAAATTTGTATGTTGGAGATTTAAAAAGTTTCGAACACAGCACAACACAGTTATAGAGTTGAGTTGAAAGACCTGTATCTTTTTGTCAACAGAACATCAGATGATGTTCTCATGAATTGATTTTATAATGAACATATCAAAATGATTGATAGGATGTTCAATTTGAAACAAATAAAGTAAAATTAGTTT